TGATCCCAAAACGTACTATGAATTATGTCCAAGACATGACACAAAACATAAACTATAAACTTGACTTGACTATAAACAATGACCTGACACATGGAACAGTGTAACATACTGTACTTTAATACACAACAGACAAGACAAACAGGGCTAATGCTGTGTTCCAATTACCTCAAAAGTCAGATGGAGGAGCTGGTAATGACGTCACATCCAAGTGGACCTTGTTCTAGTAGAGAAGTCAGAAATCCTAGATGGACACGATATTTGTTAGCAATACCAGTTAATTAAAAACACATAACAGCTGTATTTTGCAAAGATAATGACAGAGTTTCATGTCCACAAAACAGAGTTTGGATAGTACTGTGTGCACCACTGAGTTTGAGACACAGACAAACATAAGGGCTAATAAACAATATATTACTACTGTTTCTCTTCTGTTGATGCACCGAGCAGCCATATTGGATTCTGAAGCTGGAGTTGCTGCAATTCCTCTTAGACAGTACTGTTAAAGTTCCTACTGGGAACTGGGAATTTCCAACTTCCAAGTACAAATGGAACGAGGCTTTAAATACAAGACTATGGGTAAATCACATGACAAAAACAACCAATGACAAAAGAGAACTGCTAAACAAGATAAGACAAATGAATATGAACCAGTGAGAGAACAGAACTAGTAACAATATAATAAACAAGTTCAGTTTCAATTCAGCTTTGGAACGTTTATGACCTTTTACTCATATCTGCTTGTTTTGCAGTGGTTTATTGTATATTATGCTGAGCACCAGTCATCAGAGGTAGATCTGTGCTTTATTTGTCAGCAAGAGTTCTGCTGATCAGCTGGAAAATACAATGCAGAATGCCATCAAGAGGTTGGAGCCTCCACATTGTGTTTGTGTAAAATGCCACTGCAGCTGAGTCCTCTGTGCTTTCACACAAAGAATAGAAGCCCTTAGGGACAAGAAATCTCTCTGTGTGTCTCTCACACCCATATATTCAATTATCTTTCTTTCTTTCTTTCTTTCTTGCTTTCTTTCTTGTGTGAAGAATTCTTACATGATATTGCTAATGGCAAGCATTTAAAAATTTTTTTTTTTTGCTTCTGGCTGTGTGGCTTTCATCCACTCCAAATACATCTGGGAGTTTCTATGCAATCTAATTTGAAAGAATAATTGATAAAAATACATTTTTAGAAAAGATAAATATAGTATAGTAAGCATAGTACTTGAAAAAAGCAAACATCTCATCTGTTTTTATCTGTTTTAACCATCTTCTTATGGTTTATATTGCAGTGTCTGCATATCTTCTGCTCTCTCCAAGTTTGTTGATGTGTTTCTCTCTCAATTTCTAGATCAAGTCCATATTTTCTGAGGATTTTTCTCTTGTTAAATTGTTAAAAGTTAATATATATTAAAATGGCCTTGGGGTCTCTGATCAGTGCATGAGAGTTAAGAGGGAGTGAAAGGGTTCAGAGGTTGTGATTCTTTCTTAACTAACTTGTGATTCTTTCCTAACTAACTTGGGCAAGTCTCCAAATTTCTTACCATAATTTGTTTCTCTTCTTATTTAGACAACTTGCAACTCTGTGGTGGAATGATCGTTCTTGGTTTGAACAATCTGTTCTTCATATTTAGAGTGGAGGTCATGAGCCTAGACAGTTACAGATATCAGAGTCCGTCTGTTAGGCTGGCCTTGGCTTTTGCTGAAGCCACTTGGTTATACAGTAGAATCATTTTGTGAAGAAAAGGGGTTTGAACAGAGTATAAGCTACTTTTTTTCCCTCTCATACATTTTTGTTTCACGTCTCATGACTTTTATCTTCTGAAACAGACACAGAGTAGCCACTACTACTAACATGACTCAAAGTGACAGCTTGTTTGTCGCCCTGCTTCAGGGAAGAGGCCTGTTTTACACTAGGCAAAGCTATCAAAGGAAAATGAATATGAATATGCAAATGAAACCCATCATCTCAAACCTACCTAGACCTGTACAGGAAGCACAGCAGCATCTGACAGAAGGAAATGGCCGTAATTATGTAAAATGTCAACGTGAGGGACCATGTGCTGCAACGGTGACTTATAATCACGGCTGCCCTCTGTCAGTTGCTGTCTTCCGCCTTGCGTTTGTGAAGCAAATGTAAGCACTGAGCCCTTTATTAATTGTATAACTGTCTGTCACCTAATGTGATGCTGCCCATGTATGTTCTTTTTGGTTTTAAAGGTAATTAAGTCATGGTGGAAGTCAATCTCCCTTTTTTGGGGGTGTATTGACTGTGCTAAATTCATTTTGGAAGTCAATTCAGAGATTTGTTTATTGTCTTTAGAGCACTAATTTGTAAATAATTTAGTGTGTTTCTTTGGCTGATGATACACGGGGCAACTTTTTGAGCTAATTTGCCAGCCAACTTTTTTTGAGCATTGTTGCTTGGGCAATTTCCCACTGAGAATGGGTAACAAATTTCTATCTGGATACTTTAGATTAGTCGTGGGCCCTGTGCCTCACCTGGTTGCCCGTTTATGGAAACATTCAGCAAAGTTGCCCCATGTATCATTAGCCTTTGTTTGGTTACTTGGTATAAATGGATACAATCTTCACCAAAATGCTCAATAAGAAGAACTGTGCCACTTTTTACTTCATGGTGTCTTCTAGAGGAGAAATGTCTGGAGAATGTCTGCTGTCTACTGATTTTAGAAGATTTTTAAAAGAAAAAAATGCTTTAAAAATTCCAAGTTGTTCCAAACATGCAGGAGTTTCTTTCTTCTTTTGATAACAAAATAAGTTATTTTGAAAAATGTTATAACCACTGACTGTAATAAATATATTTAATTTTTTGGATGAACTATCCCTTTAGGAATAAGGAAAGATGTGCCGAATCAGTCGGGAAAACATTAAAACAATTTGCACATATTTTCTTTATTATTTATTTATTTATTTTTGTATATATTCAATCAGTGTAAAAATAAATGTATTAAAACAAAATACAAATAAAATATACACATTTATTTTTTATATATATTTAACAAGTATAAAAATTAAATCTAAAAGTAAAATATAAGCATAAATGAAAATAGTGTGTAGTTGTCACGTTCGCTACTGTGAGGGAGCGCGGAGTGAGGAATGAGGAGACGAGGAGTACATCAACAAGGAGACTTTAATTACATCCAAGGAACCAGGAAAACACACCTAGCAGGAGAGGTTGACATATACAATACCGGACCGAGAACTCAAAACAGGAAACACTTTAAATAAACATAACTAGAGGATGGGATGACGAGACACACCTGGAACTAATGAAACAATAATTAAACATGAGGGAAAACTGGGTCATGGAACACGTGGGGAGCAAAACACAAAACACGGAACAGAGTCTGACAGTAGTAAAGCATGATGTCATGATTTCTAAAACACAAACATAAAGTTTTAATATTCAAAATGTTTGAATGCAGTGAGAATTTTCAACATTTTGTAATAGTATGATAACTATAACAACAATACAATTTACTTTTTTTTTCTAAAATATAACAATATATTTTAGAACAGAGGAATGATATCATGAAAATCACTTTCAGATCTTTTTTTTTTCTCCAGCTGATGAATGATAAAAGCATTGCTAGCCAATCAGAATCCATCCTTGAGTATTTAAAGTGACAGGCGATAGGACTGAAGCACTTGCTTATAATAAACAGAATGTCATCATACATGGTGTGGATGCTGATATTGTTATCATTATAGTTGTCTTTATAGTTACCATTGTTGGTGTGAATGGGCCTTTAGACCTAGATGAGCCCAGGCAGCTGTAAATTAATGCGTAATTTCTTAAGAGGGCAACACATCTTACCCCACTTTCCCTTACAGTGCCACCATGAAGTGAAGAAAAACAAAGAAAACACATTTTTAAGCCTTTATCATTTTCAGTGGTGTGCGCAGTGAAGCATGTCGAGGCATTTGATGGGGTCGGCACTGTGAACGTGTGATGCGCGTGCATGCATGAGTGTTTGACGTTATGGATGGCTAGTTCAGCAGCTCCCGCTGTCTTCTCACTGACCCTCAGGCTAAAAGCTCTCACAGATCATAGAGCCCAAGGTCAGGGTTGAAAACTATCAAGCTCAATCCCACCCGGATTAAAGCCTCAAAGGCCGATTGAGTGCTTCTTGTTGACACAAAAGAGAAGTAAACACAACATCACAGGAGTCGGGAAGACAAACAATTGAAGGGCTTTTGGGAAAAATTAGCATAGCTATCCACCAGCCCTTAGGTTTCTAAATAGCTTTAAAGATGTTTTTTGAGGAGCAGATGTCAAAATGACTGGTGTTTTGGCATTAAGTTGATACTAAATTAAAATAAAATACCCAACTTGGCAATGCATTGATGTAAACATTGTAAGTTTATCTTCTGTGAATGTAAACGGACAGGACAATCATTATTTGTACAGAATTGCATCAGTAGCTTTGCTTGCAGTGTAAACACATGTAATCTAATTTACCTTCTGCTGTTTAATATTGCTAATACTTTTATTTATTTATTTTGTTAAAGTATTTTAATATATTTTTATTTTGTAAAGTAATAAGTGTTTATTTAATCTGTTTTTTTTTTTTTGTATTTGTCATCCTTTCCTATCAAAATGCTTGCTACAGATGCAAAAACACAGAAAATCGAACCATCCTTTCCTATCAAAATGCTTGCTACAGATGCAAAAACGCAGAAAATCGAACCTGATCTGAATTCAGTGTGTAAACGTGATTGACACAATGTGAGGTCGTATATATTTTTTAACGTGCAAACATTTCGGAAGAGAATTTCAGACTCAGTGTGCAATTATTATTGTTGTTATTAACTTGAATTTTGCAGTACCTGTCCTGGAAATTGAAATATGTGAAGTCTCCTGTAGCTCGTTTTTGGCTCTAAAAAGAAACTGTCTGCAATTAATATAAATGTGATTGAAAGGAATAAGAGTAATAAATAAGTCAGTGCATATAGATTTATTAGATTTTTTTGTTTTCTTTTCACAGGTGATTCTGATTCTCACCAAGCTGTATGACTTTCACCTTGGCAGTGTAACGGAAAGCACTTTATGGAGGTGAGCTAAAAGCTACCATCTCTTCCTCTCTCTCCCACACCTCTCCTTCCATCTTAGCTCTTTTCCCGTTCTCCATTACACTTTCTATCCAAGGCAAAGTATGTGAGCGATGGCAAGCGTAGTTATGTGATTTTGCCTGGAGCGAGGAGCAGTAGTATTCACTTCAGGAACTATTCCTTCTCAAACAAGAACAGTGTTAATTTCATATTCACAACTTTAATATGTCACATTTTTGTGGACAATATATATATATATTTTTTGCCAGTTGTATTAATTTATACCATCAGTTGGAGAGTACCTAAGTATAGCCTGTTTCTTAACTATCTCCACATTTAGAGCAGAAAAAAAGACTTCGACACTGATCCAAACCATAGAAGTCCTCTATAGTCTAAATTCAATTTATTTTGTCATCCCTTTGTAATCCTTATTGGCTCTGTTAGATTCTCGTTTACTGGTGTTTTTGGATGCTTTGTGCAATTGAGAGTGATAGGAGCAGCCTTATCTTTCACACGGTCAACTGAACACTTCAATTTGGACAGAGAGAAGCCTCGTATTGAGGTGCTTAAGTCTGACGATTTGCGATGACGTCTGATTTGAGATGACAAGTGCAGTGCTCTTTTCATGAGCTGCTGTAGGGCAGAAGGGTTTCAAGGTTAATGGGTTTTCTGAGAATACACTGAATGATTTTCGTAAAGGATGTATCTCATTCTATGTGCAATATAAGTACAGGCTATGATTACTATATTACGCCGTAATTGTTGTGCAATTAAGCAATTACTATACATTATGTCAAATTAGGAAAACAAAAAAAGACTTGGAAGTCAATTATACACTATTTAATTTATATTAAGTTTTAACTCAATTTTAAAGAATGGAAGATTTTGTACTACATCGACCATGTCTGAACTGTTATTTGTAAATACAATTAATTAC